TCGCATATTTTTTATTTTTTTTTACCTTTTCATGTTATTTTCTTCTTTGTATTTCGCATGTTCTCAGTATTTTATTTTTATAATTAATCATTTGTTTAACTTTCCTTTCAATCCACATATTCATAAGTTGACGATGAGTCACAATAACGTGGGTGAAGATATGATGACCAAATTACACACCAGAAGATGAAGAGACGACGACGTTTCGGTCCGTCCTGGACCATTACTAAGTAGTGTGTCTTGATACACACGACTTGATAATGGTCCAGGATGCACCGAAACGTCGTCGTTTATTCATCTTTTGATGTGTGGTTTGGTCATCATATTTTCATTATGTTCTCTGTAATATCTGAAGTCGCATGGTGACTCAACTTCCTTTTCATGAATTCCTCGCCATGCGACTTCAGATACAATAGAGAACTGTACATCATCGGTCCTTACTATTAAAATATTCTACAAGACCTTCTCCACGTCTCACGAAACGGAAAAGAGGGTTCTGAAAAATATTTCTGAAAGCAATGGGACTCCTATTGACACCAGCCAGTTGATTGACCAAATAATATAATATAAGAGCTAAAAGGTTGCCAAAATGCTCATGAAGAACTCTCCTGACACCAAACAAAACCCCTTCAATGAGACGAATGTCGTCTAAGCCATCACTTGTCCACTTAGGAACTGTCAGCCCCAACACATTCAATATATAGGCAAGACAACAACATCCCTTTCAAGACGCTTGACAATGTGCAAGCAGCAAGGACCCATTAAGGAACACATAACCTCTATACATAACCAGACCATCACCAGAAATATACTCACACACAACATCAAAATAATGGACAGACACCGCGACAACAGAAGACTGGACCTGGGAGAGGCAACAAGCACACCAAGCCAGGCGTCAGTAGCCAACCTCCAGACCACGACGGAACGCCCAGCACATTGCACCAGCCATCATGCCAACACCACAGTGACATGATACTATACATGAGGATTGCTTGCTTGATACTATTCATGGCACCTATGCATGAGGATTGCTTGCTTCCAATAGACAAGCAAGCAATCTTTAAGCTTCTTGATCTTTATGGAAAGACAATAAACATGAACGTCACAATGTAAAAAGGATTACAAGCGTACTGATATCACTTCTCTCAGTCCAGGCCTACATATCTTAGATGCAATAAATATTTTTACGTCTGTATAAGCGGCTCTGAGGCCAGTCACTGTCCTACGTATCTCAGCACCGTCGACTATACTGAATAACACGGCAAGCCTTAATACACTCTTGGGCTCACTTCGACTGCAACACAATGCACACCAACACAAAGTGTACATGTACACAACCATTCTTGTTTACACTAGTAATTGCTTTTATAGTCTTAACATTCTCCAGGGCCCATTAACCTCTTTGTCATTGTCTGAAAGCATCAAACATTGTCTGAAAGCATCCAATTTCCGGCCTCAGCTTGGTGAGTAGTGACCCACTCCAGCCGTCAGTAAGAAGTCCTGGTACTCAAGTTGATGAGGACAATTATTCAATTGATACAAATTCTGCTTGTTAATCTTCTAGTAAGAACGAAGAAGTTATCCATCTGAAAGCTTGTGTAACACGATGATCAAAGCTATCCTGGTGCTTAATCCCCTAACCCATAAGGGTTAATATTGAAATTGTTTCTTCCGTTTGTCCGACTGTTAATATAATATTAAAAGAGCCGAGGTAAATTTTAAAATTCATATAACAGAAGAGGGAAGGACTGGTAATTACATGGAAACGCTGAGCCAGTGTGACCATATTAAAGATTGATGATGACAGGTAATTAGGGTGTGAGAAGAGAGTTAAGGATCAGTTAGTAGTCACTGTGACTAGTAAGGGATCAGTTAGTGGTCACTTTGACTAGTGAAGGATCGGTTAGTGGTCACTTTGACTAGTGAGGGATCAGTTAGTGGTCACTTTGATTAGTGAGGGATCAGTTAATGGTCACTTTGACTGGTGAAGAACAAGTTACTGGTCAATTTGACTAGTGAGGGATGGTTAGTGGTCACTTTGACTAGTAAGGGACCAGTTAGTTGTTACTTTGACTAGTAAGGGATGGTTAGTGGTCACTTTGACTAGTAAGGGACCAGTTAGTGGTTACTTTGACTAGTGAGGGATCAGTTAGTGGTTACTTTGACTAGTGAAGGATGGTTAGTGGTTACTTTGACTAGTGAGGGATCAGTTAGTGGTCACTTTGACTAGTGAAGGATCAGTTAGTGGTCACTTTGCCTAGTGAGGGATCGGTTAGTGGTTACTTTGACTAGTGAGGGATCAGTTAGTGGTCACTTTGACTAGTAAGGGATCAGTTAGTTGTCACTTTGACTAGTGAAGGATGGTTAGTGGTCACTTTGACTAGTGAAGGATCGGTTAGTAGTCACTTTGCCTAGTGAGGGATCGGTTAGTAGTCACTTTGACTAGTGAGGGATCGGTTAGTGGTCACTTTGACTAGTGAGGGATCAGTTAGTGGTCACTTTAACTAGTGAGGGATCAGTTAGTGGTCACTTTGAATAGTGAGGGATCAGTTAGTGGTCACTTTGACTTGTGAGGGATCAGTTAGTGGTTACTTTGACTAGTGAGGGATCAGTTAGTGGTCACTTTGACTAGTGAGGGATCAGTTAGTGGTCACTTTGACTAGTGAGGGATCAGTTAGTGGTCACTTTGCCTAGTGAGGGATCGGTTAGTGGTCACTTTGACTAGTGAGGGATCAGTTAGTGGTCACTTTGACTAGTGAGGGATCAGTTAGTGGTCACTTTAACTAGTGAGGGATCAGTTAGTGGTCACTTTCACTAGTGAGGGATCAGTTAGTGGTCACTTTGACTAGTGAGGGATCGGTTAGTGGTCACTTTCACTAGTGAGGGATCAGTTAGTGGTCACTTTCACTAGTGAGGGATCAGTTAGTGGTCACTTTGACTAGTGAGGGATCAGTTAGTGGTCACTTTGACTAGTGAGGGATCTGTTAGTGGTCTCTTTGACTAGTGAGGGATCAGTTAGTGGTCACTTTGACTAGTGAGGGATCAGTTAGTGGTCACTTTGACTAATGAGGGATCAGTTAGTGGTCACTTTGACTAGTGAGGGATCAGTTAGTGGTCACTTTGACTAGTGAGGGATCAGTTAGTGGTCACTTTGACTAATGAGGGATCAGTTAGTGGTCACTTTGACTAGTGAGGGATCAGTTAGTGGTCACTTTGACTAGTGAGGGATCAGATAGTGGTCACTTTGACTAGTGAGGGATCAGTTAGTGGTCACTTTGACTAATTCCCATGGCCTGGACAGTTCCTAGGGCCTGGTGTTGGGTATCTGGGGCTCTGACTCAAATATGGAATTATTTAATTATGAAAATTAATATAATCGAAGGACCACCCACTTTTGAGAAAAGAAGGTAAACAAATAATGGTGATTATAAGACTGACACTATAGAACCAGTGCCTAAGTATGTTAAAATTATTTAAGAATCACTTAAAGAGAATTAATGGACTGTATTATTAATTGATTAAAGTTAAAAGCCTCAAATATCAACATGGGGGGGGGGGGATTTCTAGAAGTTCATATATATCTAGGAACGAGTGTGGTTCGTCACTAGTTCATCAACGGGGTTAGTAAAATAGTAGAATCTGAACTCGAATGTAGATTCTAAAGAATCATGAAATATTAAATAATCAATATATTGAAGGATTATTAAATCCTAATAAATAATATATGCAACTTATTGAGTACTGAGCAGTAAATTATTGCGTTATATTATTTCTCTGGATCATCCTATATAGAAATATATATAGAAATTAATAATGACCTGATTCAGATTTTATACAAAACAAAATGTAGTTCTAGCTGTAAGACGACTTCACTAAGTCCGTTTCGCTACTCGTCGTCGTGATCACAAGGTCTCAATAAGGAAGAAACACCAGTGGTGAACATCATAGGCGAAGGAAGAAAAACTTGCAACATCCTCGTCTACACGCTGTAATCAGGGAAATTTGAATAACAATTGATTAGGCTATAAGTTATTCCAATATTCACTGATATTGGAATTTAAACGGATAAGCTACTAGCGTTGTATTGTTGGTCTTCTCGCAACATAACGACAGGTTACCCACAAATACACAATCTTGAATGATGCATCAAACCAGAAAAGTATACTTAAGTGAGCGTATTGGAACACTAAGACCTGCCGATATGAACTCTGCCAGTCCGTGACGTTCACTGCTGTGGACGTGTGATTACGGGCCGTAACTATATTTGTAGACGCGCAAATAAACAATGGAGTACTGTAGACCACGTGATGTTGTTCAATGGCTGCCGTCTGTGGGAGCACGTGTGCACCACGCGACGCCTTGTGCTTGAATCCCGCCTCCTTCCTCCCACCACGCTCGGTCCCGCATGCGCAGAGACGCTCATAGCGATCCCGGACGTAAACCATTTCGGTTTATTATTAGTTATTTGGGAAACTGAAGGAGTACATTTTGTACTATCATCACCAATAAATATATTGGATAATAATACCTTTTCTCATAAGGCAAGTGATTTAATTAACATTGCACAAATTGATCGAGAAGGGTTGACGTGTTTTTATTTTACGCCACAGTAATATTTTACTGGAATAATTAATTTGGGTAAATACCCGAGCCCAGTACACATAAGCATGCGAAATAGTTATTTCTTTCATAAAGAACAATAATTTTAGAAAGAAAAAGTAATTAACTAAACTCTATATTTCTCCAACATGTGTGGGAGACTTCATGTTTAAGCCTGCTATCGACGCTTGGCGTATTGATGGCTGGGAATTTTATGGCAAAATTATGCCTTACTATGGGAACGCTAATGCTGTTAACTCTACGTGTTAGTGTTATTAGTAAGTATTATGGGTTAATACAATAATGATGTATTAGTGTTGGAAACTTTCCAACACCTGGACCGCTGTGACCGCTCAGTCACAGCCACTTGCATACTATATGCAAAAATAAATCCGCAGTATTGGATTGGCTCTACCAACTCCGGAAGCGGCGGCCGCCACTCTCCACCAAATACCAATATATGAAAAAAATGACGAGTGGCGTAGCCAACTTCGCACGAGAAAGAAAAAGGAAATTGAGAAATTTTCAAAAACCTACAACACCTCAGTGGAGTGAAACAACACCATCAGAGGGAGGTAACTGGATGAACAAGCAGCAGCACTGCGCTGCAGGTTGAAAGAAAGCATTGACGCGTAAAGCTGGCAAGTTAGGCCGTGAAGCTGGCATTCTGACTGTACACAAAGGTGTTCATTGGCCAGATGTATATGTATACAGATGGTGGAAGGCGGCCGCGGGTGTGAGCTAACAATACCTGAAGAGACGGGGTGATTACCGAGCCGGAGCTGGGCAGTGACCAGGAGTTGTGGTCACAACCACGGGGAGAGGGACAGGTTCACACAGACGCTGAGGATAGGCACGAGATGATGATCACGGGAAACGGAGGCTTCATTCATCTTCTGGTTGTGGTACCTTTCATGGTCTGTCTGTCTGTCTTCTCTCCTGTCACTGACGCCCGTCAGTCTGTCTGCCTCCTCTGTTGTCACTGATATCCCGTTAACTAATGACTATTGTCATTCCCGTCATATTAGAAAATATTCCATAAATTGGTCAATTTTTGCACTGTTATTCAGCTGGTTAGCGGGAGTCAGTAAAGTAACAATTAAATACACCGTTATGAGCATCAATTGCATCTAGAACACAAATGATGAATTACTTACTCTCGTCCAGATGTCATCGCTCCCATATACCCACCATCCATCCCAACCACTTGGTCTGGACGGTAGAGCGACGGTCTCGCTCCATGCAGGTCTGCGTTCAATCCACGACCGTCCAAGTGGTTGAGCACTATTCCTTCCACACGTCCCATCCCAAATCCTTATCGTGACCCCTTCCCAGTGTTATGTAGTCGTAATGGCTTGGCGCTTTCCCTTGATAATTCCCTTCCCTCTCCCACCAGCCATCGCTCTCATTCTAACAGGAGTTATCATTACCAAACTTCCCTGATCCACCATTACCATACTTCCCTGATCCATCATTACCATACTTCCCTGATCCACCATTACCATACTTCCTTGATCCACCATTACCATACTTCCCTGATCCACCATTACCATACTTTCTTGATCCACCATTACCATACCTCCCTGATCCACCATTACCATACTTCCCTGATCCACCATTACCATACTTCCCTGATCTACCATTACCATACTTCCCTGATACACCATTACCATACTTCCCTGATCCACCATTACCATACTTCCCTGATCCACCATTACCATACTTCCCTGATCCACCATTACCTTGCTTCTCTGATCCACCTTTACCATACTTCCCTGATCCACCATTACCATACTTCCCGGATCCAACATTACCATACTTCCCGGATCCACCATTACCATACTTCCCTGATCCACTATTACCATACTTCCCTGATCCACCATTACCATACTTCCCTGATCCAACATTACCATACTTCCTTGATCCACCATTACCATACTTCCCTGATCCACCATTCCTGCCTCATCTCCTGGAATGGTTTATTATGACCACAACAATATTTCTTCGTGTTCTTACTCCTCCAGGGGTGAGAGCGTCCAGTATTTCTCCAATTATTATATCTTTCACATTCTCATTTTGTATTAACTACTACTCTTTTATTCTCGTAATAAGATGCGTAGTTTCATGGAAATACTGCAACAGGGATGCAGGGATACTGCAACATGCAGTATTTCCCTGCACCTGCAGGGAAATACTGCAACATTGTCAACAATAAACACATCTGTTAATACATCATAGTCTCCCACTTTCCCTTCACTCCCAGTTTGAGAGATTTGGTCTTCCTTAGTGAATGTAATTTAGAAGGATGTGTTTGTTGACCTCTTGCCTCGGCCGTCTTTTCTGATTCTCATTGGTTGTTTGTTATGTGTGGCCGGATGTTCAGAGGGGGTAGGGGGAGTATGGTGTAGATATGGGCGTGGTTCAGTAGAGATGGTGGGTGATGCATGCTGTAGATTGGAGCGGGGTTCAATAGAGATGTGATTAGTTAATTACTTAACAGAAGGCCAACCATCACAGATAGGTCGGTCACAGCCTGGATCCCATATGGCTTTAAGAATAATGATGACTTGAGTCGTTCATAAGGATGTTATTATCAGTAGGTAAGAGTTAGGCTTTTAGAACAAATTTCTCAGAAATAGTCCCGATTCTTGCACACACACGAAAAAAAAATGTTATCTAAAATTATACTATATGGGAGTGAGCTTGAAGGAATCATTCTTCAGTAACTCTTAATTTATACGTTAAAATATGACAAACAATTTGCCTGTTGTGCTAAATCCTCACATATTAATATCGAGAGAGGTAATTAAAAGATATACTTTTTGGCAGTCATTAAATAATTGTCAATAGATTACTATTGTTGCAATACTTATGCCACAACAGTTACTTGAAAAAAAAATCATTAATCAATACACACACAAAGCATATCTACTGACAACATATTATAAATACTTTACAAGAAAAAATAATGTATTATATACATATATATGCGGAAAATCCACAGAGAAATATGAAATGAGGTGAACGTTTCGGCTCTGCTTAAAGCCTTTGTCAACACCAGACTGACTAAGGAGAAGGGAGAAGGGGGAGGATATATAGGCCGACACCTGACCAACCCATCCCTAGGGTTGGTAACCAAAAACAGGTATAGCTTAGCTTAGAATGGTCAAAGAGGATTAAGCGGTTAATCCGCTTAACCGCTTAATCCTCTTTGACCATTCTAAGCTAAGCTATACCTGTTTTTGGTTAATTACACCTGACCAACCCTAGGGATGGGTTGGTCAGGTGTCGGCCTATATATCCTCCCCCTTCTCCCTTCTCCTTAGTCAGTCTGGTGTTGACAAAGGCTTTAACAGAGCCGAAACGTTCACCTCATTTCATATTTCTCTGTGGATTTTCCGCATAAAATGATCAGTGTTTTGTGATCGTCAATTGCATACATATATATACATTAGTATATTTTGGTAGCAGTCTTTCCTGTAGACATATATTATAATATATGACCGAAAAAGTAAGATTAATAATTCTAACACGAATTTTCTCAATATTTCTTATATTTCTTTTCACTGTTGATGGTAACTGAAAAATCAATTCTCCATAATTCATTTTTATTCCTAGTCTGACACGACACTTCAAACAATGTCCAAGAACAAACAAGAACACGAAACAATGGGTATAATATTTTGTAAGTTAAAGGGAAGAATGGAAGTAACTGCAAAGGGCCTATTGGCCCATATTTCTTGATGCTTCTATATTGGTGCGGAGTCTTGAAGTGGGTAGAATATAGTTGTGCATTAATTGGCTGTTGATTGCTGGTGTTGACTTCTTGATGTGTAGTGCCTCGCAAAAGTCAAGCCGCCTGCTATCGCTGTATCTATCGATGATTTCTGTGTTGTTTGTTAAGACTTCTCTGGTGATGGTCTGGTTGTGGGAAGAGATCATATGTTCCTTAATGGAGCCCTGTTGCTTATGCATTGTTAATCGCCTGGGAAGATATGTTGTTGTCTTGCCTATATACTGAGTTCTTTGAGGCTTACAGTCCCCAAGTGGGCATTTGAAGGCATAGACGACGTTGGTCTCTTTTAAAGCGTTCTGCTTTGTGTCTGGAGAGTTTCTCATGAGTAGGTTGGCCGTTTTTTGGGGTTTTATAGTAAATCGTCAATTGTAACTTCTGATCTTTGTCATATATCTACGTCAGTTTTAACACAAATTTAACAAAATTAACGAACCTAACCAACCCTACCTAACCTAACCTAAACTAACACAATTAAGTCAATATTTGATGTTCTTAATATAATATAATAATAATTATTATTTTAAACTAATTGGAAACATTTTATTGAAAATAAAAAAATCACTCGGCCTATTAGGCAAATCGAGCCTGCATAGAAGGCCGAGAAGTGCGTTCTGGCTACTAGGTACGACACACACACACACACACACACACACACACACATATATATATATATATATATATATATATATATATATATATATATATATATATATATATATATATATATATATATATATATATATATATATATATATATATATATATACCCATTTCCGGCCTCTCTACCCGTTCATACTATCGTGCTACAGTGGTGAGTCAAAACTGCTCTTTGGTGAACATGAAATCAAATCATGTGAAGGTGTTCAGCAAGGTGATCCTCTTGCTCCCCTTCTTTTTTGCTTAGTCTTAAAAGAAATCACCGAAAGCTTGTCCAGCAAGTTCAACATCTGGTTTTTGGATAATGGCACTATAGCTGGCACCGTAGACCATCTCTTCGCAGATATCAGGAAAATAAGGGAGCAAGAAGTAAGCCTGGGTCATGTCCTGAACCCTTCCAAGTGTGAAGTAGTCTCTTCCAACCCAGACGTCGTAGCTAGAATAAGGTCTGCCTTGCCTGGAGCCAATGTCATTAGGGCTGAGAACAGCACCTTCCTTGGAGCCCCCCTCGGGTCTAACGCCATTGAGGAGATCCTTGACAAGAAAATTGCAGACCTTAGGAGGATGGAAGACAGAATAGGTGACATCGATGCCCACGATGCTTTTTATCTCCTCACCAAATGCCTATCCCTTCCGAGGCTAACCTACTTTCTGAGGTGCGCCCCATCTTACGACAGCCGAAAGCTTGAAGAGTATGACCTCTTACTGAAGACCATGCTGGAAAAAGTTGTTAACCTCTCCCTCAACGAATGCCAGTGGAAACAAGCCACTCTTCCTGTTAGGCTCGGTGGCTTGGGTGTCCGCACTGCTACCCAAATTGCTGTCCCAGCCTTCCTGTCTTCCTCCTCAGCATCAGATGACCTGGTTAAGGAAATTCTACCTGACACCTTGAGTGATGTAGCGGGAATACAGGACCCCCACTACACGGAATGCGACACGAAATGGGGTGCCATGGCAGACCCAGCACTCAGACCAGCCATGCCGAAAGCCAAGAAACAATCCAGTTGGGACAGGCCCATTGTAGACAAAGAAGCCACAGCTTTGCTGGAGACAGCAAACACCCCCAGTGATCGTGAATGCCACACAGCTGTGCAGGCTCCCTATGCAGGGGACTTCCATTTAGCAGTCCCTATGTCTGTGACAGGCACACGTCTTGATCCGCAGGAGCTCCGTATTGCAGTCGCTCTCCGTCTTGCTGCCCGTATCCACACTGTTCATAGGTGTATTTGCGGCGAGGCGGATGCTGACGAATATGGATTGCATGGCCTGCACTGTGGAAAATCTGGTGGTTGACATACTAGACACAACGAAGTCAATGACATCATTAAAAGAAGCCTTGCCTCTGCTCAGTGTCCAGCGGAGAGAGAGCCCCGTAACCTACTGAACCGTGACTCTGTTAGCTTTGCCGGCCGACCAGATGGAATCACACTGCGACTGTGGAAGGGTGGCAGACAGTTGGCATGGGTGTTACGGACCCGAGCCCAGCGTCCGAGCACGGAGCAGTGACGACTGCGCCATCTGTGGGTCAGCTCCCGAAACCCCCTCCAAATGGACGGCGCCATCTAGTGAGGACGAGAGATACTGGCCACAAGGGCTAGTTTCCCGTCTGATCAGCCCATAACACAGCCGCTGCTGACCTCTGGTGAGGTGGCGCTTGGACAGCAACGCCATCTTTGGAGCAGATAGGTGGACGTTTGTGTCTAAGCCTGTGAGTGAGGTGCCCTAGAGTGTCCCTATTACTGATGACGTGTCTGATTACAGAGTCGACCTGGGACTGCTGTAATGGAAGTTGGGGCAGTTTACCCAAGGCAGCCGAAGAATCTCCACGTGTTTGCTGCAGCAGCTGTGAGTCACCCCCCCCCCCCGGATGAACACTGTGGTGTTAGCCTGCCTGTGACGTGGCAGTTGAGTAATTGTCATACACGGGACTGACTGGTGGAGAAGACTAACCACTGGGGTGTTGTAGTGAGGAGAGTGATCTGTGGAATCACACGAGGCGCCTGCCTAGGGCTCGCAACCCTAGTATCGGTCGTGGAGTGGCCTACGCAGCGTTGCTGATTGGAACCTGCCAGCTATAGGCTGGATTTGTGGTTGACGCCTCCACGACGGTGCACCCAGTGGGACTGTGATTTGGCTGGCCTGTGGCCGGGGTAGACTCGCCGAGGGAATCAAAGGATTCATTATGAGGCCACAAGAGAACCAGGACCACTCGTCTTGAGCACCGTGAACGTCTTGAGTCTTCGGAGGAAGACAAGTGTTTGTAAATAAGTGTAGTAATAGTAACAGCGTGTGACTGGTTATATATTTATTTATGGTGGTGGTGCGAATATATATTTATTTCTGAGCAGTTTTATCCCTTCCCCTTTAATTTACTTGCGTTACGGAGCACACCCCTTGAAAGC